TCATGTGTTGATTGCCTGAGGGAAGTCCTACAAGTCCATCACCCTTGCTACCGTGTTCACACTGTTAATACAAATTTTCAACGCTTCAAATTTTTTGTTGCAGGACTTATTTGCCAACCTAATATTATGTTATACTAAACTTAAATCTTGAATTTAGGAGCTTTTCAAGCCTAAATACAAGATTTGGCAACTTGCCAGCGTTTAAGCGCCATCGCCGCTCTGTATGTCTGACTACCCTGAGACGCCCCGCGAGCATACCTTACGGCTGCTTTCGGGGACGCCATTCTCGGGAAGACCCGAATCGGAGCGTCCCAGCCCCGAACAGGAGAGCATACCTTACGACCCCAGGGTGAGCCATAAATGTGGTCAAAACTTTTCGAACCTCCGTAATTTCCTTGTTCGGAGGGTTTCTCCAAATCTGCACCTGCCCTTATGTTTGTGATATACCATAGGCCACATACCTAATTCGGTGCTTTCAAGTTGTCAGATTTCGGAAGACGGTGGAGCCCCGCAGACATCCACCAACCGGAACGTCTATGCGCGCATTTGGTGAATCCTTTTCCGGAATCGCTACTCGTTTCAACATTTCCCACATGGCAGTCTCTTGAAAATCGATGCGTAGACATGTCAACGACAAACCTTAAAACGGTCTTCTTGTCCCACATACTGCATCTTTTCTGACTACACTAGCTTAGGAAGCATTACGCAGCGGACCTTCAGAAACGCGAGAAAAATGACTGCTGATTTGTTTGTATGCTCTAATCCGATGGGAAGAGACTACCCATATAAATCCAATTGTATCCAAATAAAATTCGAAAGCCTATAACCTTTCTGACGAGAATGAATTGGAGAGAAAAACAAATGCCGCGCTACTTGCGCGCGGCACGCGCTTCGACAAGCCTTTTCTTGACTAAAGATTGTTTAGCGTGGAAGAAATGTTGTGATCTCAGAGTATACGTGTATTTAACACTACGAGTACTGATGGCGCCAAGAAGAGCCAAATCGCTTCCCATAGCCATTTTAACTCTTTAATGATGGTTTGAGCTAAATAGAATCTCTACCATCGGAGCGATATCGCAAATTTTGGTCAAGAAAAGTACAAAACTTAGTCCGAACTTCTCTAGTAAGGGCTTTTGTGGAAGGATGCAACTGAAGGTCGAAGATCTTCCTAGGGATACGTTTTGAAAACTACGGCGCACTCGCTCACGAAAGGGAAGGGATCAAGACTGTTGCTGTGGGAATGTTTGCGATTTTAACCCAGCTTCCAATCCTCCTCCGAATTTCCCGGACCACAATTTTAGGGATCGCTGGATATAGTCTATACTGAAGAGGAAAGCCTGCGCTCCCAAACGCTTATTGTTGCTGCTCCTGAGAAATCATTGAAGAAAGCCTGGGCTGCAATTTTCAAAGAAACTCTGCGCGTCATCGTCGATGAGTAGCCGAAGCGTCTTCTAGCTATAATTAGTACAGGAGACGGTTAGACAAGATCATTGTGTGTTCGTTTTGTAGATGCGATGNTTGCGGGCATTCCCGATATGGCCTAGAAGCGAGGAGAGCGCGGGGTATCCCATTTGTAGTAAACGTGTCTTTAACAGCTGGAGGTATTTTGTTCTTGCACTAGATAAGGCGCTGCCGCGGCAGTGGAGCCTCGGGTTCGGGTCTCGTCCGAGATTAGATGTTTTGAACAAGCCTTTGCATTTTTGTGATAACGCCTGTATCGTTCACTGCGGTGGAAGACAGTTGTTAGCAAAACAATAAACAGCAGTTTTCAAAACAGTGCTTCAGCACTTTTCAGCTTGTACTGGAGGATAGATAGTACTACAAGAAGATACTCCAAGATACTCGTTTTGAAAAAGTTCGCGTAGTTCAACGTGAAGCTTTTCGAGAAATCGCGTGTCACCACTTTGACTATCGATGCGTTTCCCGTTTTCTAGAGAAGCGTCCACACCGCTTACGTCCCTGTACCAGACACTACCCGAGACCTCCTTCCCATTCTCAACAGAAGCGGTCTCGACTTTTAATGGTGTACCAAGGCTTCAGGTGTTTTCTACCGTGTTATCATATGTTTGTCAGCAGTGCGGTATGATTACCATAAAAGAGGAGGTACATTGCAGACTGGCTTCCCAACAGATGACTCGTCTTGTATTTTGCTCTCTGCTAGTTGTAATTGTTTATGCCTACCCATTCTCTACAGCGTTCCACCTGGACAATGAGGCTGCCTTTGAAACAACTGGGAATTCCAATGAATCGCTTGACCTATCGGAACCATACATCGGAGCGGCTATTCCAAGTGAGAAGTGCCCAGACAGACTCCCTCTTCGTCACTTCTGCGGTTTTTGTAAAGTAGCTGTCTTCACGATGCAGTACTTTATGAGACAAGTCAAGATGCAAAAGGTCAGTGCAGTCACTTTATGATCGTCATATAAATGTGCGTCCAAGGAAACGACGACAGCAATAGAATCACTTCATTTTCGTTTGGATTTTGATAAATCATGTCTTACATCTGCTGGTGATGCTCTAATCTTCCCTATGTTTCCTACTCTGGATCAAGGTTCAGCATGAAGTGATGGCCTCTTGCACATAATCTTTTCTTTCTACAACCACGGGAGGAGAGAGAATGGGGTCAACCGGGAATGAGGCGGGGAGGGACAAGCTATGGGCGAAGAGTATTCGTGTATTCATAGAATGAAGGATGTTCACCCTCTGTGTTATTCTTCCATGAAACAATCGTGAATTGGTCGGAGGCGGTTGGAGTAGCAATAACTTCTTTGCATATGTAGCGCTCTCCGATCGCGACAGATCTAGGTCTTGGCATAGCAGTAAGTACCATATCGTTCCTTGTAAGCTGCCCATTTTTGTAATTCAAACCATACTGTATCTGAAGTACTTTTTCGCCAGTCAGTTGGTCAATTATTTCTGGTTATCAAAGTACCAGAAAAGACTTGTTCGCTTGAAAGTGTGCCCCATACAAGACCGCCACACCGCTAAATGGGCCGCTTACAAGAGTTCAGAGGCAAGATCGAGGAGTTTTGGTCATAGCAGCTTGAAAGCACCACTCAAGTCAAATTCGTTGTACCTGTAATGCGCCTTGCATAATCGCAGGATAGTCGATAATGTGCTTAAAAAGTGTTTAAACAAAGGTATCTTTCTCATTTATAGGACAGAACCTGGTTTGTCGATTCGTAAGTTTGTCGGTTTGTCGGTGTGTCAGCCTGTCCGTCCGCAAAACTTATGATTACGATAAAGGTAGTGATATGG